CTGACCCCATAAGCGACCCTATAAGCGGCTCACCCCAAACTTGGCGAGGACGAAAGCTCCCGCTCCCACTCCGATCCCAATAACGCTCTTCACGCTTTATAGGGTCAGGAGGAAGGAAGGAACAAAGAAAAAAAAACCCTATAGAGTCAAAACCCTATAAAAAAACCCACCGACCCTATAAATCCACCGACCCTATAAGGGTGTTTAAGTCGACCCTATAAGGAAAACCCTATAAAAAAAAAACTCACTTGAAGTGTTGGAGGACGTATGGGATCGTCTCGGCCAGCTGCTCCAGGGATGGGTACTGATAGCTGGGAATAGGGGAAATTTGTAGGGTTTGTAGGGTTTTTTGTAGGGTTTTGGGATTTGTGGGGTCTGTGGGGTCTCTATGGGGTCAATAGGGGGCTGAATGGGGTCTCTATGGGGTCTATGGGGTCTCTATGGGGTCAATATGTGGTCTATGGGGTCTATGGGGTCTCTATGGGGTCTGTATGGGATTCTCTATAGGGTCTCTATAGGGTCTCTATGGGCTCTCTATGGGAGTTCTATAGGGTCTTTATAGGATTCTCTATGGGGTCCCTATGGTTTCCCCATTCATCCCTATGGGGCGCTGCGAGTCCTCCTGGCCGCAAGGCGGCGCTGTTTGCTTTCCTCTATGGGGTCTCTATGGTTTCCCTATTCATCCCTATGGGGCGCTGCGAGTCCTCCAGGCCGCCAGGTGGCGCTGTTTGCTTTCCTCTATGGGGTCCCTATGGGTTCCCCATTCATCCCTATGGGGCGCTGTCAGTCCTCCAAGCCGCCAGGTGGCGCTGTTTGTTTTCCGTACCCATCCGGAAACGGCGCGGCGCGGCGCTGCATCCCAGGCGGCTCCACTTGGAGGCGGACAAAATGGCGGGCGATGTCCGCCATCTCGTCGTGGGCGAACAGAGCCGAGAAGCACGAATCGGCTGCCCCGAAAAAGAGAGAAATCCGCGGTTTGACCCCAAAAAACGACCCCACAAACGGAAAAATCCGGTGGTTTTAACCCCGGAGTGGAGAGTGAAGCAGAAAGATGACAAAGGTTTGCCACAAAAATGGCCACAAAAGGAACGGAGTCCCACATTTTTACCACAAAATGGCCACAAAAGCAGCAAAATCCTAAAAGTTTACCACAAAAATGGCCCCAAAAGCAATGAAATCCCAAAAGTTTACCCTAAAATGGCCCAAAAACAGAAAAAATCCCAAATTTTTACAACAAAAAATGGCTCAAAAAGCATCAAAATCCCAAAATTTGACCCCAAAAATGGCCCCAAAAGCAGAAAAATCCCAAATTTTTACCACAAAAAAGGCCCCAAAAGCAACGAAATCTGGCAACTTTACCACAAAAATGGCTGCAAAAGCAGCAAAATCCCAAATTTTTACCACAAAAATGGCCACAAAACAGAAAAAATCCCACAAGTTTACCACAAAATGGCCACAAAACAGAAAAATCCATCAAATTTACCCCCAAAATGGCCCCAAAAGTAACAAATCCCAAATTTTTACCACAAAAATGGCCACAAAAGCAGCAAAATCCCACAAATTTACCACAAAAATGGCCCCAAAAGCAGAAAAATCCTAAAAGTTTACCACAAAAATGGCCCCAAAAGAAGCAAAATTCCACATATTTACCACAAAAATGGACACAAAAGCAGCAAAATCCCAACAGTTTACCCTAAAATGGCCCCAAAAG